TTAACAGTCCACTCGCCCCCATCAGACTCTCAAGTCAGAGGCTAGGAGCACGATTTTTGAACATAACCCTACATTCTTCCACTGTCTTCATCAGACTTTTGAGTCGTAGACCCAAGGCGCTGTACCTCAACTTCACCCTTTTCCTCGATCTACTCAACCAGGAAGTATCATTTGCCCGCACAGTTCTTTTTCCACCGGTGTTCCTCGCCGCGACACCTTACCGCCACACAAACAAACGCTGTTAGAGCAGCTGATCGTCAGCTATCTGACCGACCTACCTTGCACACCCCGCTTCCCATTAACAATAAGTGAAACAACTGCCAAATGCACGAGATCCTTCCTACATAGGAGCTTTCAACGCCTCTATGCTTTATCGGCAATGCTTGCCCAGAATTTACACTCCTTTATAGTTGGTGTATGCCTTGTCTCTCAGACACACACACATACGAGACATCAGCGTGGTCTTGTATCTTAAAACGCCCAGGGCGAACTCAGCGTCTTCGTATTTCACTCCGCGTCCGGTGATCCAGATGCAATGACTTGTGAAGTATATGGTCTTGAAGTTGCGCTCGACTCCAGAGTTACAATCACCTCGTTGGCTTCCGCACTATTGAAGCTCGTGTTTCTGGATTGGATGTCAATTACTGCGGTCATTTTAGTGTCCTTGTCGGGTAAACCTCTGTGCCCCAAGTGGCAAGTGATACTTCATACACTTGGTGTTTCACTCACATGACCCAGGTAATATTGGTATTCAACAGTGGTGGTCGATACTGTGAATCTTGATTAACTGGTTTGCCAAGTGAAGGGGGACTTTCTAACCTATCCATTCCATTCCAGAATGTGAAAGCGGGTTCTGTTGTCCCGAATGAACCGTATATTTAACCAAGTTAACACCATTCGGTTTCGAAGTCTATTGACAAATCGATCAGATTGGTTTTTGGTGCTTGGTGTGATTTTTCACTCGACTGATTGGTGGAATTCTATGGAAGCGCGTGATGTTTGTACACGAAACTAACTGTTTGTCCTGGTTGTTGTCTCCAACTCGTCCGCTTCGTTTACATTAAAGTCTCCATGTGGCACCGATGCATAAACAGATGAAGCCGTAGGGTCTCAAAGTGGCCAGTTGACACAACAGGTGTCTGTTGAGCAGTCAGTCTTAGTTGTCGGAGTTGCTTCAATATCTAACGGGGGGGGGGGGGGCTCTTTTTATCCATCAATTGCGTGAACTAAACTGAGTGAAGTTGACCTCTTCCCCCCGTCCTCCATAACCGGAATTATCTCAGCAGGACAAACGGTTTTTTCGCCAATGATTCACACCAAACCGTAGCAGGTTAGAACGGTCCTTCCCAGTTACTCTTGCTTTTATGTTTATGGCGTAAGTAACGTGAATCTCTGAGAGGTGGCTCTAGCATCAATTGCGTGAACTAAACTGAGTGAAGTTGACCTCTTCCCCCCGTCCTCCATAACCGGAATTATCTCAGCAGGACAAACGGTTTTTTCGCCAATGATTCACACCAAACCGTAGCAGGTTAGAACGGTCCTTCCCAGTTACTCTTGCTTTTGTGTTCATGGCGTAAGTAACGTGAATCTCTGAGAGGTGGCTCTAGACGTTGAGATGGGGAAACGTTTCAAACGGGGATATTCTGAATTTCGATACTGTGATCCCCCAGAATTGGGCCACTGTGAACCACAATGAGATGTCTGCTACCCTTCTAATGGAAGACCGAATCCCCCCTGCCTGTGATGGTTTTTTCTTACACGAGAGTAATTAGTAAAGTTTAGTAAGTGCGTAATCTTCTCCTGCTCCCATCTAGGTGTGTTTTTGTTAGCCATCAGTCTTACTGGACCGGCGGGGCGCTATGGTCGGTTTCCATCAGAGACACTAACATCCCTCCTCCACCAATAATGGAAAAATGGAGTTAAATTCTATCAAATAGGGGACCGTCACTTCGACGTCGTGCCTTATTAGGAATGCTCTATTCGAGTCTCTGTCGGGAGGGTGTCTCTTCCAGGTTGCTCGCTTTCAAGAGATCTCACAGATCCCGTAAGCTTGTTCACTTACATCGTTTGTTACCGTCAGGACGCGCCCAGACATGGAAAAAGTACATGTGCAGAGAGTGACATATATCCAAGGTCATCATCGGTACGACACGTTCGGAAAGTAGGTGCGTTGCCGGAGCGCACCAGACACGGCTTAGCAACATAATACCAGTGGAGTGGGGCTGAAACTGTTCACGACCGGAACACCGCCATTGGCTGTACAAAACGAACGATTGGACGACCATATTTGGCCATTTAGTCATCCTATACGTATTTACACAGAAGCTCTGTATGTTTTGCCCTGACAACGCAGCCGTGTCCAGAGTTGTCTGTCTTCTTATCGCGTAGTCTGGCAGGCTCGGTGCAGACGTAGCCAATAGACGGCCACCCACGATACAACAATTACGCGTCTTCCAACGCATAGCCCGAATAAGGGGCTACCTTTGATGAAGGAATCCCCCGGTTGGATGTCGTTGGCAAACGGAAAGCCGTGTGACCCAAACAATTTAGTCACATTCCGTTTGCGTCCAAAGTCGGGTCACCAGATTGTTGGGCGCATTCTTTAATTCATATTATGGATTGTGAATACCACACAATGCTGTCTACGAACCAACTTAACAATATCTTATCCTCGTATGCTTCCCTTGCAGTTTCCGCCTCATCGACCACCTCTCTTTCTGATAAGCTGTTCTGCGTTGGGTCGTTGGCTTGCAAAAAAAATCCAAATACACTAGAATGCCAGTCATCCACCTCATCAGAAATGTGACACAAACTGATCATCCTAGGACCTGTGTAGACGAATGACCTCGAGACCACATGTTTTCAGGACATACATACGGTAGATCTATGCATCCTAATACAGTACCATCTTTCCCAAGTAAGGGGGGGGGCATTTGACCGATTCTCTTAGGTGACCTTTCTTGGGGGAGGGGGGAAGGCAGATTCCCTTTTGTCTCAGTGTGCACGACTTTTATCCAGTTTTTCACCTACTTGAAAGTCACACTACCCGGATCATGTACACGACAAAACACATGCTTGATTCTGTTCCCTCTGCCTTCCGCCGTCCATCGGTCGTTCATTTGTACGTTTTTTTTTGTAACCGGAACAGGCGACTTTACGATTCCGGGATCTCAGACGTTTACTCATGCTCCCTTTCGTTTGCACTCCTCGCCCCGTCCACTGCAGTCAATCATGTGGACTTGTTCCACACAGCCTCACAATCGTCATCCATGTTTTTCTCTGTCCATTGATTCACACGCCTATTCCCATGCCCTTCAGTCCTCCCACCCACCATCACATGCCATTCGGCCAAATCTGAATCATCGTTTGCCAGGTTTGTGCGTTGCTACCAGAGCGCCGGTTGTAAACACACATGCGCCTGGCTGTTGTTGTTGCTGCTGCTTGATCCCATCGTCCTGCTGTGACAATTTCCCGACTGTGTCTGACAATGATCCGGAGACTGTACGCGAACCAAAGCCGTATGATAGAAATTAGACAAAAAAAAACGACGTGTGAGCATTCTACTAACGTGGTATAGTCCTGTACAAACTAAAGCCGAAATGATAAGTTCCAGTACTCCACGGCGAAATTCCAGAGGCTTTCGAAATTTGACCACAGATGTGGACACCGACACACCAGATCAGTGGTGCTGAGGTTCGTCGAACTGTTTTTTGAGGAGGACAAATCGGATGGTGACGCTTCACAGACTTCGTCGTTTGGGTTACGAACTTCGAGTACCGAAGGATCGTCTGCCTCGCAGCACCGATGGTGCACGATATGACTTTCCAGATGTTATACCTTGCTGGACGGTAATGCAACTCTGTGTCGGTCCCTTGGCTTCCTGCTCCGCCCACTATGGTATATCAAAAGGCACGGTAGCTCTAGACAGCCCTTTATCGAGACAAAGGTAAATCACTACAACTGTATTTATAGGGTAGTCACAGTGTTCCACAAGGTCGTGCCAGAATGTCCGTGAGGGGCCGAGAAGCGTCGAGTCAAATGTGCTTGACTCGGATTGGCTGGCATTCTGACCAATCAGGGCATGCCTTCGTCTAGCCCGTGTCCTGCACGTGACACATGCGTCCAAATGATGTGAGGTTCGGTTATTAGGGACGGCTGGCCCCCGAACACCAGAGGAACACGTGGGCCGGTAACCTGATTAGCAGCCGCAGCATCTGTTGGAGATGCTGTGGCACATGGCTTCGTCGTTCCCCTATCCGAACTTTGCTTTCACACCTCAGTTCGGCATCTGCATCGATCTGCGAACTAACCAGATATGTTTTACCACATACGCCGTTATGAGGCGATCCACACTTCGGTATTTTGAGCTATCGCCTGTGAACTTCAAATCCCTTCTCAACGTACCATTTTTTCATAGTGGACGGGCACCCGCGCCGTACTCAATTTGTAGCTGCTTTGCCCCGTTAGCCTTTTTATTTTCGTGTCAGCCTAATCGTCTGATCCATTTTCATGAGCTTCTAGAAGTCATTGTTGACAAATTCACCGTTTTCTAATCCTATTAGTACATCTGGGTGTATAGACAGCAGTCCACTCTGTTGACTATGATCAGGTTTATGGGTTTTCCATTATCCTATCGAAATTCGGATATGCTAAAGACCACCGAAGCCAGACTGCTATCCTACGGAATCTACAGTATCGTTCTTACTCAGCCATCATTTTTTTAATGTTTCCCTCAACGACAGATCAATTCCTAGATGGTATCAAAGTCTCGTTCTTCCATAGTCTACCTGTACGAAGGACAGTCATAGAGTTGACGCCAGCATCACTGCATATCGAAGGAGATGAGCGTTTATTTAACACACGTGGAAAAGCTCACAGTGTAGCTGAAGACAACTAGAATGTGTTTGAGTATAGTTCAATTCTGACCTGTCACACGTTTACATGTCGAAAAAAAAACTCACCATTGGATGTCTCGTCTTTTCCATTCTCACCAACTACAGCCACTTTTCCGGAGCGTCACCTCTACCGCAAGATCCACTTCATTATTTTCATCACAAATCTTGGGATGACTTTGTCCACCCCACTTATGCGGACTTGTGGAGCAGGCACCAAACGAAAGGTATGTGTTCGGATCCTGGTTTTTCCCCGTTACATTCATTCATTTCGCCCTCCCCCCTTATTGCACTTTTGTGGTGTTTTTGTCCAACACCAGGCACCATAGTTTAGTTGGATGTTGCGTCTGTTTGACCGGACCCACCCGTTCTGTGACCTCACATCATTAGAGCAGGATCCACTCAAGGAAACTAGCATCACCCACCATGCAACTACCCCCATTGGGAAGAATATGAACCAGGAGCTTCTTTGGGGAATCCTGCAGCTATCGGTGCGGTTATGCGTCAACTGACGCAGCCTAACTTAATTCGTGGTGCGGCTAAATTCGAGAGTTGTCTTCCATATCCGAACCGCTGAACCCGGCACATCATTACCTGTCACGGACGATTGTCGTGGTTTCTTAGTCACCTGGATGACCTCAAACGAAAGTCGTTCCATTTTGTTTCAGGCATAAGTGCCAAGCAACCCATAGGAATCACGAGGGGATGAGATACCGCTGTAACAAAGCTGAACTTGACCCGTATTCGAAAAAATACTCTTTCAGCTGTAGCACCCTTTCGGTGCCTAGCTGCCATGCCACCTGCAGAAAGCAAGAAGGCTGGGATACTGCCAGGTTGCCCAAACCTAGACAGGGGAAGTCGAGAGGTCGGGTTCGAACCACGGACCTTCTGGTCAGTAAATTTGCGCTCTAACCACTTGAACCATCTCGCCCCAATTGACCCTTATTGTGAATACTACACTCGGCGGTGCCAATTCACTTTCAGATAGATGTTTTTTGATGCGGTTCAGGTATTTGAGACGGATGAGCCCGACAAAGTGCATCATCACTTATTCTCTGGGCGGATTCAAACTCCGAACTACCTCTAACTTTTGGTAGGTAGGTAGGTAGGTGCCTGGTGGAACTTGTGGTAAACACCCATTATGGGCTCGTTGACAGTGAACATTAGTTTAGATAACTCAATAGTGGGGATACTGGCGTCCAACCGAGAATTCTGCTCACATCCCACCCCTGGCGTTTGATTACTTGTGTCCCAGAATTATCTTAGTCCCTATGCTTTCTTCGGGTTGCTTGGCAGCTGTGTACCGACCAGCAACCGACACGAACAAGCGAGCTCCTTTAGTTACCGTGTCCGATTTTCATCTCATCAGTGTGTTGTATCCCTATCTGACTTTTCCTTGTATTGTCTAATTCGATCCCCTCATTTCTGGGCCCTTTTTCTATGTTTCCCATGCGGCTCGTTGCGTTTGTCATATCCTCATCATTGTCACGTGATATCCATTGTTTGCTTTGTACGCTTTCTTCGCGCCTGCGTCACCATTGTATGAGATAACCTGCCAAACCCGTTGTTCCCTCCTTCCTTGGTTGTGGTCATGCTTTGTCGACCGTCGACCTCTGATTGGCTACCGTACTGTGGCACAGGTCTGAACAGAACTGAGGACGACTGTGAATGAAATAAAACCATGGGGTGGGATGTGGTGGAAACTTGGCAAAGGCGTGCCTCTGTTTGGTTTAAGGACGAACTGGGGACATGGTCGTCGAACAAAGCACTTTTAGTAGTCCAACTTTGATGCGGCCTAGAAAAAAAATGCCGCGGTTTGGTCAGGTACACGGAAAAGACAATTCGCTGAATTGAAATTATTTAAAGAGTGTGTGTGAAATCTGATTTTACAGCTGGATGCCTCCTTGACCCTCGACGAGAAAAAGTTGCTTAATTTAAGGACAACAGGTTTAAAAAAATGTGGAAATCAAGCGAGGTCGAGGACTAGTTGCTAGATGAAAAGCCTAGCATTTCGCAAAGTATTTATGGCCAGGTTAGCTGGCTAGTTGGACTTTGTACTCTAGGTGTGCAGTAAGGTCGTGCTATCCACGGAACTATCCTTCGCCCCCCCCCCCCGTAGCGCCGTTAGCGCTCCTCGCTATTTCGAAAAAAACGTTAACTGCAGCCGCCCTCCTTCGGCGAAGCATTCTTCGATGGTAACAGATATCTCAAAGCAAAATGGTCTTTTCGCTGGATTCATCCAATTTTGTCTGCTATTTCTCAGGTTAGCTATGAGGAGCGCTTGAACCAAAACTGAGAATTAATGTCGCGGACAAACTGATCGAAATATGGCAGAATTAGCCAATAATAGCTCATGCTTCCCGGGTCTAGAAACATCTGCCCATCTGTTTGCCGCAACGGGAAGGCTTTACAGCTTTACGCGAAACATCAATATGTTCCCAGGGGGCGAGATGGCCCAGGTGGTTAGAGCGCTAATTTAGTGACCGAAAGGTCCGTGGTTCGAACCCGACTTCCGCCTCTAGACTTCCCCTGTCTAGGCTTGGGCGACCTGACAGTATCCCAGCCCTCGTGCTTCTTTCTGGCGGCATGGTAACTAGGCACCGGAAGGGTGCTACAGCTGGACGACCGATGTGTTCCCAGCTGGTAGCACCTGCGTCATCAGTATTATTACAGTGTTCAAACACGGTGTTTGTTTTCATCTGTTCACTGAGCCACAGGAGAATTATGTTGATGGAATGCAATCTTCCAGCTCACAACCCGCTCCTCCTATTACTAAATAACGAAACGAAACGGCTGATTGTCTACCTTGTCTATTCATATCGTCTTATGGTAGTTCTGTTTTTACTTTCCACTCTCTCAAAGCACTCGAAGAGGCTCGATTGGTTCACCCAAACAACGTGGTTTCATCGTCCGACGGCTTATCTCATCCAGACATCCCGACATCCTCAGCTGGAGGGGTCGAAGAGGATGCTTCGGTGCGCATTCTCGACTGTCCGGACTACCGAGTCCAGTTCGGGAATCAGTCGTTTTCGGTTCATACGTTTAGTCTCCCAGCCAGTAGAGAGCTACCACGTGGTGTGGCCACTTGGACTAGTGTGCATGTGGATGGCGCTGCCGGAGAGAACGGAAGTCCTGATATCTTTGTGGTACACTATCACCGTCTGTACAGGTGAGAATCAAGTGACATTTTTCCGTGTTGTTGGTTCGCCCACCTTTTTCATTAGTTAGTGGTCAGTTTTGTGAACGAAGATGTTGCTTGTGGACGTGTGCTGTCTGGGGACAGAATTTCGCACGAGCAGCCGTGGTCATTTGAGTTGTCCAATTCGTTATTTCCTCGGTTTTTTTGCTGTCATGATCTCTGTATTCTCCCTATCGTGTAGTCTGAAGGCTCAGTGCAAGCGTAACCAAGCTGTCATGATCCGGAGGCCTAACTTACCAGGAATTAGCTGGCGCGATCGTCTTCAGAAGTGCGCCCATGAAAGCGCCTTCGCGCTAGTACCCAGCCTTTCAGCTTGGGGTTTGAAGTGTTGTCAGGACGCGCCCAGACATGGCAAAAGTACATGGGCAGAGAGTGGCGCATCTCCAAGGTCACCATCGGCACGACACTTTCGGAAAGCAGGTGCGTTGGCGGAGCCCACCAAACATAACGTAGCAAAATACGATCACTGGAGTTGGCCTGAGTGTTCAGGACCGGAACACCGCCATTGGCTGTACAAAGCGTGCAAGTGAACGACCGCGTTCGGCCCCGTAGTCATCCCATATATTTACGCAGAAGCTGCGTATGTTTTGTCCTGACAACACAGCCGTGTCTCGAGTTCTCTGTATTCTCCCTATCGTGCAGTCTGAAGGCTCAGTGCAAGCGTAACCAATAGATGGGGCCGCCCACGACACAACAAGTGTTATGTATGGAAAGTCGTACAGTCCTACGACCTTCCCCAGCCGTTCCCGCGTCTCAGGTTGCCTCTGCTTATGCCATCATTCCGAAATTATCAAATTACCTGATTCGTGATCTGTAGCTGTTTAACAACCGCGCCATTTAGCACCCACTGACGTTAATCTAGGTCCCTGAGTTATCGATTCCCAAAACGATGTCTCAGTTCCTTCACTGGCAGTAGGCATGTGTACGACGACCCGATACCAGAAAAATAATCTTGCTCGTCACGTGTTATCTTCACTTCGGTTTTCGTACGGCAAGTTCTCGAATAGAATTGATTGTTTTCCTACTTCAATGGGGATAAGTTCTTCTCTGGCTGATTATGTCATTTAAGTTCGCAGACAGAGCAGAACGTTTGCATGTCCTTGTTTATGCCGTCGTACTCAGAAGTGGAGGATATTGACACCTAACGACTCATTCGTTTTGAATGCATCAGCGACCATGGAATTCGCAAACACTCGGTATGCATGTACTCTACGCTATCTCAAGGGTCACGTGTACCAGGCCAGAGTAAGGGCAGTGTGGATTGCGAAGCCTGGCCTCTGCGGACATACGATGTGAGACGTCTTCAGGTTGTTGAGCTTCGATGCCTCAGGACCTTGTGCTGATGGCGTCAGCCAGTTCGTAACGAGGTAACTTCAAAACGGGTATTTGGTTGTGCCCCAGGTACTTCAATCGAGGAAACCATCTAGCACCATCGACTACGATGGCTCGGCCATGTTCCGTACATGCTGAAACACCTACCGTAATGATTGTTGTTCTCTGTGTCTCCTTCAAAATGGTGGAAACCGCGGGGTGGACTTGAGAGTGAAAAAGATCACGAAGAGTTTTCGTGTTATTAATGTTGCACGCCTTTCAGGATGGAGTCCCCGTAATCCTGCCTGCGTTTGACTGGAAACATTGCAAGCAATAGTGGCTGATAGGCGTCAGTGGCTGTCACTTTCTTTCCAGATTGTGTGATTGATCGCTTGGAGGTGTAGGCATCTCGGTAGGCCATCACCAAGTCCCCTCCAGCACCCGAGAGCGGGAGAGCGTTCAGCTGTAGCACCCTTCCGGTGCCTAGCTGCCATGCCACCTGAATGAAGCACGAGGGCTGGAACATTGCTAGGTTCCCCAAGCTTAGACAGGAGCAGTCGAGATGCCTGGGTTGAGTTTGAACCACGGACCTTCCGGTCAGTAAGTAAAACGCGAATTTACTGAAAAGAATGTCCCTGGTTTGAACCCGACCTCTGCTTCCCGACTTTCCCTGTCTAGGTTTGGGCAACCGGGCAGCATCCCAGCCCTCATGCTTCCTTCGGGTGGCATGACAGCTAGGCACCAAAAGGGTGTTACAGCTGAACTATTAGGAGATCGAAAGTCCTACTCACAGCTGGTCCACGCCGGAACATGACTGCCCAAGCTTAATCTCATTAGTAAATTCGGCTCCAACCACTTGGGCCATCTCGCCCCTCCAGCACCCACTCTTTTCCATTCTAGTCAGATAAACTTCATGGTTGTAAGGCAGTGATTGACACAACCCAGACAAACAGCATCAAACCAGCTCTAGCTGGGACACCTCGTGGTTTGGCACAACTGTTTGCAGTTTGTGCACTGGCGGTACCGCAGAGACTGAGTATAGACTCCGCTTGATTCATCGTTTCTTGGCTTGGTGGGTGTCAAGCACCGGGCCGAATAAGGAACTGTTCTTATCGTGAAATGACATTAGGATAGAGATCTCCGAATTTCCCGGCACCCTTTAGAGTGTTTTGTCCATCAATCCAATGGTGAAGTTCGCAGGACTAGAATGGTATGGTCTCTCTAATGGGATAACACTTTCCGACATAGCTTCGGTGTTCTGGAGCACCAGGTGTTTCTTTAGACCACTTCGAAATGCTCACCTGGTTTCCAACACGATCTTCTGAACTCGGGTTGGTCTTTCTTTGTTATCAGTCATTTTTATGGGACCAAGTTTTTATCTACCGACTAGTTGTCATCTTCAACCTGTATTTCCTTCGATGGTTGTTGGACTTTTGCCCAGTTCACCTGTGGTCTGAACCTGAAACTGAAAACCGACTATGTTTCCTGCACACAACCTACGATAGCTGATTGCATTGACCAGGACCTTAGTTCGCTCGACAAGTCATGATGTGCAAATCAAGTCGTTCGTATGCGCACAGCTCTTTCACCCATCCAATCACGTGACGATTTGATAACCTGACTCTTCCTACTTTCGTCGTCAACGCACCATGTGCTTCTCCGATGAGTGCATGTTTGCTAGTTTTTATCGGTGTCCGTGTTACATGGTAACTGTTTAAAAATTCATATTCACACGTGTACGCATCTGTGTGTTTTTCGTTTTGTCTGTGCTCTCGTCTATACACGCGTGTCTTTTTACTCGATGTTGTACAATGTGAATGCCTTATTGTGGTCGGCCGTTCGCACTACCAATTTTGGCGTGCGACCTCGTTTGCAGAGTAGTCTTGTATGTTCGTTTAACCAATGCACAGTCACTGACTCCGATCTGGTATCCATATGTGAATTCATCGGTTTCCGTGCCATCTTTTGCTGGACTTCTCTGCACATTATTCCTAAGCACAGGAAACACTTCGTATCGACAAACTCTTGATCTTTTCCTTGTCACGTCATATGGATGAGGGACACTTCTAAACCCGTCTTTATGGACTACCCCGGAATGAAAACTACCTTGTACTAATGTGACAGTCAGCTACACTCTTTCGGGAGCGAGATGGTCCAAGTGGTTACAGCGCGAATTTACTGACCGCAAGGTCCGTGGTTCGAACCCGACCTCTATCTCTCGACTTCCCCCGTCTAGGCTTGGGCGACCTAGTCCTCGTGCTACCTTCGGGTGGCATGGCAGCTAGGCAACGGAAAGGTGTTACAGCTGAACACTCTTTCATCCTTAGTTGTTCACTTAGGTTAGGAGGTCAGTATAGATGACCGAATGTACGGCGTCAAGTAAACTTTCTCCATTGGTGGCAATCTAGTGCATCCGAAAACAGTGTGAAACAAAATCTCCAATTGTCTGCTCTAACCTTATCAGTTGTGGTCGAGCGCTTTTGCACTGCTTGTGTTGCGAAAACTTTGTTCATCTGTCTCACCTTGACTGTACGCGTGTATAGTCACTGTCAATGCCAATCGGTCATTACCTTCCCTTTCAGAGAATCTCCACCGCTCGAGGTTTCGGTCGGATTCGCTCAGTCCACCGGCGATTCGTTGTCCATCCGCACCACCCTACCCATGGTCACGTCAGCCGGTAGCCGACTTGAAATGAGAGAGTCAATCCTAGTCAGCCCCTCACTGAGCTGTACTTCTACCGTGGACGGCATCGATGATTTGGACGAGCACTTACCAACAACTACCTATGTGTATCATCATCACCAAAGGCACGACGTGGACCACCATCCGGCAGGCGCGCACGCACAACACCACCAGCATTCGGGAGTGAACAAAGACCTGTTTGACTCGCGTGGTCCAACGGTCACCTACCATCATCACCATCATGCCCATCACCACCACCATCATCACTTGCCCCAGACCCCGATCTCTGCATCGAACAACGTATCTCCGCCCATCTGCTCGCCAGTCAAACCGGTTCGTCAGGTTTTTCCCTCATGTTCTCACTTCCGTTGTTTGATCTAACGCTGTGCGATTCATCTCACACTTAGTTAGCTGCTCTTCAACGAGCTCGGAGATCACACACTGCCGCCTTTATCTTTTCTTGTAACCACTGTTGCAATTCTGCATGTTGGGAACCTTCGACTGATTCTATCTTTTGAATAGAGTATACTTCCAGATTATTCTGGCCGTGGTGGCCTCATCATCAGATTGGATTTGATCTAAATCCTTTCTCTGCTCAAAGAAGACCGCAGGCAATGCTCGTATCCCGAACAACACACGTAACTGAGTCTAGGATGTGCATCAAACTCGTGTCCTTTGAAGTATTAATGCGAAGATTCTCAACGAACAAACCTAGACAATGGTAAAAACTGCCTTAATCTTTGTAATATACTACTCATAAAGTTGCTGAAAATCCGTCGACAGCCCACGACCGGTTT